ATGATAATTAGCCTAGTGATGGACACGAGTCATCTACTAAAATCTGACTTTCATTATTATTTAGGTAAATAATAAAAGAAGCGCGGGAGACATAAGCAACAAATTTAACTGGTATTTTGGTTCTCGTTTACTGGTTAGACTAAATACCCTATGTAATTTAAGCCATCAGACTGAACTACTATCATATCTGACATTCTATAAGCCAAAACGGTAATTTATTTAAACAAATTTAATTTTATAATAAAAAAATCTGTTGTGTAAAACACCATCAATCCCATGTGGAAAATCTCTTTTTACTCCCCGGTTTCCACAGAGAATATGGGTCACAGGGAGAAATATATTAAAACCACTCCTAAAACAGGCAGGAGCTCTGTCTTACTCTGGGAAAGAGACTTTCTCAAACTAAACTTTGATAAGATCTAATTTGCATTTCTTATTGACAAAGCTTCTGAAACCTGCAGCTCCTTCACATAATAATCAACCTTTACACTTAGATTAGAGCTGCGTGACAGGAAATGAGAGGAGTTTACAGCTTGACTTTAACCACGTGCACTAAACCTCATGTGACTGATATTTGCCAAATAAACCATATGAAAGCCATTCCACCTCAGTTGCCATGTACAGTCAGATGGTCAACAGCTTCTCAAATGTTATGGTTTAATCTTAGTCTTTCTACGTTGGATTTGGGGTGTTGGCTGGACAAAACGAGCAATACAAATGTCACCTCAAGCTCTGACCAATTGTACTCAGCAGAAAACTGGCAAACTAATTAGTGATGAAAACATTTGATGCAGCCCTCAAAAGTGCAACATACAGTGTGTCACGTCAAAACAGCAGTGTTATTTATCCTGAACAGAGGTGATTGGAAAGTTAAGTGGATTTTCCTACTTATTCAAATACTTTGACCTTTTCAATCCAACTCATTCCCCACATAAAATCAAAAACACCAGTAGTAGCACTTTCTGTTTCATTATTATCATGCGAGTGTGGCACGTCAGAATTATCAACAGCTACACCTCAGACATTTGTGACCGGGCCAATATACAGGCCTAGGCAACTCAGACCGTAGTAACTTTTAGTAGTTCCCCAAGAATAACACCCCTCCTGTTTTCAGAGGTCAAATTCATGCAAACTTCCCCAGTACTGAGCTGCTACCCCCAGATAGATCTGCAGTTAATGACTATGTTATGACATGTTTTAAAAAAAATATGCAACACTGATTACGTAAAATCGACAACAGAACTTTGGTGACCATTGCGGTCAATGGGGCTGTTTAAATTTAATCAAAGTGCGTGGTCAAATTGTACTGACTAAATCAGTTTTCTATTACTGTGGTTGTTTGATTTCTTGTTGAGCAGCTTAAAAAGATTTGACATTTCTAATTTGATAGCTGAACTTAGATGTGTCCAAATGTTGTACTCAGTTTGAGTCTGTTAATGCAGTGACCTGTGAACACACAGGATGGCACAGGGATATTCATAGGTGAGTGGCTGCATGTATGTGTTTACCCAAAGGAACCTGAACTGTCATTATTTGATTACGAGAAAATGTTTGTGCAAAGTACTTGAGCTTTCAGAATGTACAACCTTTTCTGTGCAAACAGTGACTAGAACAACTGCCTTCTTAAGGATGTGTGATGATGTTTATAAGGTATTTTATTTAGTTACAAGCATTATGTAATAACAGTAAACACCAACACACTGCAATGGCTTGTACTGTACATGTCTAGTTTTTGGAAAACACGTTTGACTACTCAGCGTTAAATCTAAATTAAATGCACTCAAACAACTGAACAGTTTCTTTCTTCTTAGCTAAAGAGATACAAATAATTCAAGTACTGTAACAATACAAACATGTCTAGTGGACTTACAGTGGCAAGTAAAGGTAAGTGAACAATTTCAAAACCGTAGATATCATCATAATGAGTTTATGTAGGATCTGACCAACAGGTAATCCTGGGCACTTTGAACTTGTCGCAATGCTGTATATGTTGTCTGGGATAATAAAGTGGATGCATAGTACTGTGCAAAGGTTTTAGGCATTTAATATATTTTTTTATCCATCATGCAGCATCATCAAGAAGATGTCCGAGTGGCCCCAAATTCATTCTGCAGCACGACAACGAACCCTAACATACACTGAGCGTGTAATGTTAATTGTTGTACCCGGTACTTTTTACCATACTGACTCTGAGAGACGAGTCAGTCCAACCAGATCAACTCATAACTTTTGTTTCCATAAACCATGCTGTCAGAATCCATGAGAACAAATTTTATGTGGTAATGACTCAATAAGTAAACAAACATGTACCTGAAGGACTGTGGTTCTTCTTACCATTGCTAACTCTGAGAGACGAGACAGTCCAAGTAACTTCAAAACAGTGCTGATTTATTCCATGAACACAGGTAAAAATTAACATTACACGCTCAGGCATCTTGCACCTCCAAACTGCTCGCAGGCAGATGTAAGATGAAAGACCCTGAACCCACCAGGCCTATACATTATATCCCTTCGGTTGGGCTAGTCCCATTCTACACAGAAACGTCAACCGAGACGTCTCTGTTGCCAGCTTTGCAGCTGGTCATAACAGTAGTCAAAACATGAAGCAAATCAATGTGTGTGTGTGTCTGTTGATTAAGTGGTGTGTAACTAAAAACATTCTCACAGACTTCTAGTACATGTCATGACATTAAACATAAGAGCATATTATGGCTAAGGCTACAGTTATACACATCATAATAATAATAATATTAAACACCCTGTCTGCTGAAAGTCATCAACTCTTCTCTCTAGTATCCTTGACCAGATGTACCCTGTAGAAACTCATAAGCAGGCCTAAGGATTTAACAGTCTAACTAGACATCCTGTCTCCACTAAACATTTCTAATACATAAAGTATCTATCCAATTTCTATCTGACTAAAAATACCTAACAGAATCAATAAAAGTTATCTTCAGCAAGAAGAAGAACCAGGATTCTTACAACACATGGCCTCACCCCTGCAGAGAACTGAACATTACCGTGTCACTCTGGAATTACATGAAAAAGCAGACTCTCAGACAGCCCAAATCCAATAGCAAAAGCCAAAGCTTCCATCCAAAAAGAAAAAAGGACGACCTGACATACTAATTGTTAAACGACAATAAATACTGCCCCGGTAAAACTTAATCCAGCTCAGTAAACACAACCATCTTCTACCAGCAGCAACGGAAACAAGCTGAATCCAATCACACTGAAAAAAACGAATGACAATTCTTAAGGCTACAGTTATACAGCATAAATCTAACATAACAACATTTGGAAAAACAAATATCCTCTTTCCTACCTGAAAATAGTCTGGAAAAATATCTCATGTACATCAGGAGTTACACGTTAGTCCACACGTTTTGGAGCGTCTCCGGAGGATGTGTGAGAGCCATTAGTAAAACTGTGCTGCCTACGTCATCACTGCGGGCCAAGGCATCAACGAGCGAGAATGTGTGCGAGAAAACAAAGGACATTGAAGATACAACTGCGGTCAATTTAAACCTATCTAGTGGTAGCTACGGCTTCTTCCTTAAAGGGGAGACGTATATGTTAGATCCGGCTCACACTGAACTTTGCTTTAAGCCACAAATTAACGTGTGCTATAGCATAGCATAGCATAGCTTGAGGTGGCCGCGGTTTACTCTTGCACCTTGGGGATTTTTTGGAAATAGCTGGAAAAAATAACCACCGGTTTAGTCCAAACAGTCAAAGCAAACTAAACTGCCAGAAAACACGTCGCTCTAATCAACACAGAAAGGTTTAACTTT